CCTTGAGTCCCTGTGGGAAGCGCTGAGCCTTTTTTCCGTAGCCATTCTTCTCCTCTTCTATTTCCCCGCTGGGCTTTGTTGCTAAAGGGAAAAATTTTCATTATCCCTGTGACATACATTAAGTAAAGGGCAACTATCCTATGCTTAAGAGAAACTCCTAGGAAAGATCCTCACCTACAGTAAAAGTAAAGCTTATGTAAAGAAATGTAAAGGAAATGAAAAAAGTAAGGGCATCACACAAATCTATATAATCTCTGGCTGAATGAGGAAAACTGTGCACAAAATACACCCATTGTGGATTAGGCATTAAGGCATTTATTTGAGTGACTTTTCTGCATTTTATTCGAATAATTAATATTGACTGAGGTAAAAGCAGAGACTTTGCTTTCGCGTTCCTGATCCAGAAAGGCAAATCTGCCAAAACCACGCTACTTCTGTTAGAAGGAAGGCTCCTTCGGAAGGTGGGAGCAGTCGTGTAAGGTAAGAATTGGCAGTGGCTTACCTGAGACATCTTGAATGACTACAGACAGGTTTGAGAGACCCTTTTGGGGATGTGTGTCCCATCACCTGTCGGAAGACATTTTCCCCTGCGTGTTAAGGTGAATAGGACCATGGCAGAGTAGATATAAACGTTCTTCAGGGTAAGGAATTTGGTAAACTTCCAAAAAATACTACATACCAAGAAACAGAACTCCCAAGAAGCAGACTGCATGTGGCTTTTAGCATTAGAGTGACTTTGCTCCTTTGGCACCAGAAGCAAATAAGTGGCTATTTAAAATATTTTTGTTCACAACTGAGAAATATCTTCTGTCTGCAAACCAGTGCATGACAGACACAAACATCTTCCATTTAAAATTTACATGAATTTATACACATTTTATAAAGCAGAGTCAAGCAAGACAGACTAACTTGGAGTAAGGGGAAGAAGTCAGTGCTCACTGTCTGCCCTGTCAAACTGATTTATGTGGGGTTTTTGCATTCAGGAAGATCACAGTGAGTTTTATAGCCAGCTTGTAACAGTGCCACAAGCACAGCCGAGAGCACATCACCACCAGTAAAATCACCAGGTGAGAAGTCAAACATCACCTGGTTCGACTACTCAGAGGGAGCGTGACAAGTGTATTTTAGACTGTTGTGGGATGAGTATTAACATCCTTCACCAACACTTCGCAATTCCAGAGGAACCACAGGAAGCTAGACCCATCCACGTGTAAGGCCGTGTGTATCCATTAGGATGTTTATTCCCCCAAACCACCCTTCTCCTCCTCATCCGTTTGGCCCCTGAAGTTCAGAAGGACATCGGCTATGAAGGACTACCATTGAAAGGAAATACAAACTGTGGAAAGGCTGAGATGGGAAAGTTCCTAAGGCCGTATTTCTTGCCAGTGACTTCCCTTGGATACAGTACCTGCAAAGCAGAGACAGTACGTATCGCTGCCAAAGCCCATTTCCAAAACAGGCTGCCAGAATTTCCCGAGGCAACTGTAGGGTCTAAAGGTCAGCCATCCTCCTCCTCTCGGCGCAGTCCTCTGACGGGGATTTAAGCATGTATCATGGGTACAAAACCCGGCTGCACATTTCTAGACTAAGAACCAACCTGAAGCTTGATGAAAGAGGATCAGTTCAAACATCTTTTTTTTCTTGTAGAAGCGTTTTGAGATGCATAAAAATGAGTTACCCTTTGTTCTGTTCAGTAGACCTAATGCTGACCTAACACTAGGTTTGAGAACCGTTGCTACAATTTCAAAGCAGCTGTCGATAGAGCTGGAAGATTGTCTCATCAAGATAAAGCTCCTATTGCTGTGCAAAAGAGCCGAGTGCTTATAAAAGATGACCTTTCCTCCGTTCTAACAGAAAAAATGTGCTATAGCCAAAACTGGAAGTCTTTCACAGATCTTCCCCCCCTCTCCGTGTCTTTTAGCATTCAATGTCAATCAAACAAAATTCACCTAGCATTTCCAGTATGTTGTTTCCAAATAACAATAATAATTATTATGCTTAAAATACATTTTTTGCATAAATTACGGAAGAGAGAAAATCAATGTGCTGAAAGCGGCCTTTTGCTTACTTAACATGCATTTACAGTTTAACTCCTTCCCTTTATAGAAGTTTTCCTTACTTAACTACGCATAGCCAGATTTTCATTTTTATGTCCCGCTCTACATCTTTTTTCCCCACCCTGCTAATTAATATGGAAATGGCTTAAAGAAGGTCATTGATAATTTTGACACATTACTGAAAAAATCAGGGCTTTGTTACAGCATCAAGCTATAGTTAGGAATGCATGAGATAAGTAACAGCCAGGTACGCAGACAGTGAAATGCTGTCTCCCAGCCTGAGAGGATGGCTACCTCTCAACTTTCACAGGCATCATCAGGAAGAAGAGGAAGAAAGGAGACATGCCCGTGAAAAGCCCAGTGGAGAGGGGAGACCTCACATGCAGCGTTTAACGCTCTCCAACTCAGATTTCAGGGTTTACCTCTGGAAGTGGCAGTCAAACTGTGTAAATTAGGGTTTGAGCGCTGACGAAGCACTGAAGTGGCACCACGCTGAAGAGCATCGCCGACAGACTGACTCCCTGCCCACCGAGCCTTCCCAGAGCAGAAGGCTGCTACGCCAGTCCCGGCGCCCGGATCCCCTCCTGCTGCTCCAATTCTCTCAACAGCCTGCAAAAACGTGGTGTTTCTGCTGAGTTGGAGCTTCACACTGTTCACAGTTAGGTCCTCAACGAGTGTCAATGTAGACATTAAACCTGAGCAGATTGTTGCAAGCGAAAGAAGGCAGAACTGCGGTACCTACTACGTTTGCTTTGTTCGCAAATAAATCATTGCAACAGGTTAGAAACATGTTTAGTAACGACTAATCTTCTAATGGGACTTTTTAATAAAGCTCCGTGACCGTAAGCACCTCTTTGAAGGACACGATCTGATGTGCACTGAAGTTAACAGGGCTTGTCTTTACTTCAGCGTCAGAAAGTCCAGGCGGCAGATGACTGCCAGGATCTGCAATTTATTTTATTTATGCAACCCGCAGCATAATCACACAATCATTAAACTGTCAGTCTAGAAATGAGCCAAAAATGATGCAAACTCTGTTATTTAAATAATGTACATTAAACCAAAGAGCTAGCCATCAATGTGGAACTGAAAATTTTGAATTCCCAGAAATGGCACAGATCACTTTGCTTTCACCTGGTAACTTGCCTTCCAAATTCGTGCCAAATTCTGTATGCAGCTTATTTTCAGTCCAGCAGTATCGAATGCTAAAGAAGTGGACATAACTTCTCACAAAACTCCAACGCACTTTGTGTACTTGTATTTACTATAGTCAGGGCTGCCCAGGTACGACAAAAAAATGCCAAAGCAAGCACCAGATCCAAAATTAGCATTTTATTCAGAACGTTGGGGTCAGAGGTGTATCATTCATATTCTGGTACACAATACAGAGGCAAAGCTGTTCTCAGAAGTCTCTCCAGTTTGAAAGCTCCTTCCCCCTTCCCTCCCCGCCCCCAAAACATACTGTATATTTACTCGTGCCACCAGTATCAGGCCAGCTCCCCTCCCCCCCCCCTTTTTTTTGGTACAAATTATGTAAAACTTTTGTGCTAAGAACTTGTCTCCCTCCCCAAACAAAAAAATAATAAAAATAAAAATAAAAAAAATATTGAGTACTCTAACTACAGTTCAACAATTGAATCAATGTCACTTGTTTGCAACCTGTTTTGTAAATACTTTATCCATAACGAAAGATATAAACATGCAAAAACCTGAATCCATAGTCCAAATAATACATACACGTGTTCTGAAGTTTCTGCACTTCTCCACAGACTATGCCAATAAAACATTATGTACACATACCATTTTTTACAGTGAAGTGGGAAAAAAACACTAGAAATTAAAAAAAGAAAAAAGAAAAGTGTACATGGATTAAGACCAAAATGTGTCTAACATTCTAGCATAAGGAAAAAAAAAAAAAATCAATTCTGCTACAAACTGGTGATATGAAAACTCCCTTTATTTGCAACCAGCTGCATAAGTTTTAGAATTTTAGTGAAAAAAATCCCCTAACATCTAAAACTATAAGTAATGTACATTGTTCCACCTCATGGTCTTCTCTCCCAGATAATAAAATTGTTCCATGAGGATTTTTTTTGTTTATTTTTAGTTTCCTTATTTTAATAAAAGCAATGCGATGTAACAAAAGCATGTTGAAGCATATTGTGTTTCACCTTACTCCTCCCCACCCCAACATATTTTGTCTCTTTAATGCATCATTTCATAAATCAGTACCATTAAAGCCTTAAACATAAAACTAATTCCGATCTGAAAAAGGTACAAAAAGGCACATAAAATCCCAGTGCTTCTGTACTGTAAAATTCAAGTGTAACTGAGCTCAATATTTTTTTCCAAACAGCATTGGATCACTGATATTCCACGGAGCCCAAATTGGTTTGCAGCCTAAGCCAAAGCCTTCAGCAAGCACTTGTGCTAGTAGACTACAAAGTTAAAGCCTAGCTTCTGTATGCTTTTGGGGAATATCAGTTGAAATGTTTGTACTTGTCCAAAAATAAAGTTCACTTTGAAGTTCAGTCATCACCTCCACCGTACATATCAGCAAGTTTCTTGAAACGTGGGCCCCAGTCATTTAGGTAGTCATAGTCTTGCTCACCACCACTACTTGAGGAGTTAAGAGAGCTCAAGGATCCAGCAGTGGAGCCGCTTCCTTCATAGTCAAAGACTAAGAGGGAGTCATATGGTGGGGCTGTAGGGTCATTGTCGGCTGCTTTAAGTCCCTGCAAGAAGGAGAGGGAGAAGATAAAGTTCTGTATCTGAGAGAGAGGCAAAACGTTAACTGGAATATTGCAGTGCAGTTATCTATCAATTGCCACATGACAAAACCAAGTTCTTGTTCTTCTGCAATCCAATTCAAAACAGGATTCATGTTTTTGTAACTCCAGCAAGAACTTATTTCAACTCCTTTTACAATGTCCAGGTTTCCAGCATTACAGCACTGGACATTTTGAATATAGCTGCAAATACAGCTCTAACAAAACCTTAAGAGAACATGACGGCGCTAGGACAGATGCTAACAAATACACCGTTTCAGAGTTACACAGCTCACAACCTGAGGCATGAGCAATATGGGACTGGTTAAACAGACAGCTGGGGAAGAAGAAATAGGCATGTTTGCAAAGGTTTGCTTTAACAGCCATCTCACATGGCCAATAACATATCCACTGACATTGCTGGCCTGCAGTCCACCTGCGTGTGCCAAAAGCCGTATTTAGTTCTGTAAAATTCATGTACCTCTCTAGGCTGCTGTGAGAAAAAGATACAATATGTTGGCTTAAGCCTTATGTGCTTTGCCATAACCACCCGTAAGATTCCCTCTGCTCTTCAGAAAACACACACACACACACACAATGACATCAAAAGTAAATACGTGATTATAACCATTTTTGTTCCCTCATTTCAAAGTATTCAAGTTATCAACACATGAATATTGGGTCTTCAGTAATTTTAAATTTCTGCTCTCTAGAGCTGAATAACCCAAACTAAAAACCAAAACAAATTGAACTAGGGAAAGAACGACACTTCTTCTAGAGAAAAGTCTCTTCCCTCCCTGTTTTCTTACACAGGCCCAAACCTAAACAGTAAGTTTAATTTTAGAATACGAGACGAGTGCTCTGTGCTTATGCTGGGAAGATTTACAAATTGAATATAAAAGGCTGAAGCCTAAAGTTAAAAGCCCTCGTGTTTGGATTTTTCAATCTCGCTGTTTCTTCCATGGGATTAGCAATGCTCTTTCAAGATCTTCCACTTTGAATAGGATCTACTCTGGCAGTCACTGACAAGGGATAATATATCTTCCAGAATTCTGTAAGGCTGAGCTAAGATTTTAAATTGCTCACTGTTAATTTTAACCAGTGCTATATATGCTGGTTTTACTTTTAATTTTTAATGTTTATTTATTTAAAGAATGACTTTATTATTCTCCCAATTATTTGAAGGATTGGGTGTGCCTCCTTCGAAGTATTTAACATATTCTGGTTTTAGAAAAGTATATTTTACTCTCGATTGTGTTTAGTCTAAACGTGACATAATGGAAATGGATGTTGATTTTTCTTCTAGAAATACATATATAGCTAAACCCATTAATTAAAGCATACGGCACTGATAAGGTAGAACAGAATCCTGGTTCTTTATTGCCTATCTAAAATCATTCGGAAGTGTGCAAAATGTACCTAAAATAATTTTGCAAATCAGTGGTGTAAAGGCCCAGCATATTTATCAAACTAATGACCTCTCATCAAGAACACATTTTGGACTTAAAATGATCGTTTCATGTAGTACAACAACATCAAGCAGGTTATTAATAGCCTGCATTAGAAGCGCAATTTTGAATTATCTGATAAGAATAATTGGCGATGCTTGTTATCTTTCTCTTTGGAGTTTTCCATCCTGATGGCCATAATAAGGACAAAAGATCTGATTCTGAAAAGGGAATAGCAAGCGTTGGAAGACTTCCCTTACCCAGCTTCAAAGCTGGAAACAGTTCTAAGGCTTTCTCTCAATTGCTGCTGCTGAAGCAGAAATGCAACTTTACTTCTTAGGCAGTAACTGGCCTTATAGTATTTACATCTTCCTTTAAGACTGCCTGGGGTGACAGACACCCACGCTTTTCGAACACAGGTGACAGGGAAGGAGAATAAATACCACTTGAGCTTAAGGAGTCCTGAGGTATGAATCCCAGGTATCAGTGTGTAAAAGTCGTTTAGAAAGCTGGCTTGGAGAAGTAGTGCTATTTCCCTGCAGTTCTGCCTAGTAACAGCCAGCCAACCATGGGATACTAATTTATTAAAAAAAAAAAAAAAGAAATCAGTGAACAAAACATTTTCCTACATCGCTGCAGAAATTCTGATACCTATCAGCCATCCATGGCAAGTCGGCAGGCAGCCTCTTTCCATCTTTTTTTCCAAGGGGGAAGTTGGATTTTTTTGCAATTTGATGCTGGTATCATGATAGCATTTAAAAAGAAAACTGGTTCTGAGCTACTGACTTACAAGATAGCACCTCACTAACAAATACACTGTTTCAAAGGTTGTGCTTACTGTTCAATCCATTTCATTCAGAGAATGTAGCTATGGGCCATGTTATGGAGGTATTGACTCAACTACACAGTCCAAGTTAAACTGACATTTGCACCTATCTTCTGGTTAAAAATTCCTCAGATTGATAGTATAATGACTGAACTTAGTCTCTAACTCTTCAAATGACAACCAAGTTTTCTGTTATATTTGTGCGGCAAGTTACATACTAAAATTACAAAGAAATACTACCATTTCTTCACTTTCCCTCTGCTAAGCATATTCTCTGAACCTACGCAGTGCGCTGCTCCACTTCACTGTTGGGTTCTACAGCATGTCTGAAGCTGGAGTTACTGGATGTCAGCTTTGGCAGTGAAACTGGCTTATGAAGCTCCCTTTGGTTTCAGTATTGCCACCTTTTTTGCTTATTATGCCATCCCTTTCAGTGGGTGGTACCACAACCTGCTGTATTGGCACAACTGAAAAGGCAACAAATGGCTGCCAAGAACTGCTTCTACCGATTTTGCTGCCATGGTATTGTCAACCGCTTCTGAAGAGATCTCTCAGTTTTTCCCAGATGTGTTCAAGAATCTCAGCGCAGCAGAATTGTTATAGCTATTTGATTTGCAGTTTCCCGATCTGAAAACCCAAAGTTTTTACAAGACAGAGAAGCTTATTCAGCAACAGAACTGCTGGGGCACACACTTGGGACGAGGTGATCCTGCTGGGAGACAGTGAACTAAGTCACATTTCCTTGCATTTGCTATACCACCAATGCACAACAAGCAGTCACAGAAGAGCCATGGCAATACAAAGGTCAGCTTGAGACCTAGGACAGACTGAGTAGCAATCTCACTTTTTCCTCCTCCTCTTTTATGTATGTTGGGGCAACTTCCACTAAGGAGGAGACAAGGGGCAGAAGAGGAGAAACTACAGTGCCTTGACTGAGGAACAGTGGTAACCTTAAGTTATAGTTTCCTTAGTAGGCGTAGCATTCTCAATTTGTCTCAAATCAAGGGAAAGCAAAACCCTCAAAATCTTGAACTAACATGAAACATTACAAAAGCTAATGCTTTTATTTTCATTAATCCTACTACTTAATCAGATTCAGCAGACTTTTGATGAGAAGGGAAGGAAGAGCAGAGCCCTACAGGGAAACACAAAAAATTGTTTAAATCTGGAACCGTTTTCTTACTTGACAAGAGAAAACGGAAAACATCAAGGGATTCTATTCTGCTTGGAGGTGCACTGTATTAATAACCATTTACTAAGAATGAATTGAGGGTCCTCCATGTCCTTATGGGATAAGACCTTCAGTTTGTAATTTAAATTTAGTTTACCTCAGCCTATGTCCTCTATTGATTAGAAATATATTCTTAGCCACAAACTCTCCACCACAATAGAATTTGTTTAAGATTTCTAGGGACAGCATAGGTGGTTCTCGAAAACAGGATTAACAAAGCTACTTCAAACAGGCCTAATGTATACGGTCCTCCAAATTCTGACTATTCAAACTGTTTATTATGCTCCACACTCTGCAGGTTGTGTTTTAAAAGGCTCAAAATGGAAAACAAGGTCTACAGAGGATTCTTAATAACACATGACTTATTTCACTGACTTGTTTGTACACTGGACTGGAAGAAAAGGAGGTTTCTCCCTTCCCCCCTTAAATTAGAGATTCATCTATCCATTGAAACAGACAAAACAAGAAAGGCCCCGAGGTCATTTAGCTTATGCCTGCAAAACATATTTTGATTATAAGGCACCTCTGGCACCTTCTTATTTTAGAAAGTTCATGTATGTTATCTTAACTTTGTAAGTGTTATAAAAATACTTGAAGTTTTTATCATACTTGTAACTTGTTTTTTTCAACTGAGAAGTCATTAGAACACTACAAAATACTCATACTTATGTATGACTCATTGAGTTAAGCAGGTTTAATACAACAGATGACAGCTAGAAAATAATATACCAGAATAAACAGAGTACCGCCAAAAGGAAATAAACAAAATGACCCACTAGGTCACTTTTTGTTTCTACGGCTCTGTAATAAAAGTAAGAAAAAAACCCCACCTCATGCTTGCTTGGCAATAGTAGCTAAGTCCTCCAATATCTGAAATCAATGACCTATAGTTCTTCTTTGTCAAAAGATGGAGTAATTCAGAGGCTAATCTGAACAATGCTGGCTGTGTGTCTGAGGTGCTGGTGAGCATTTAACAGACTAAATTAATTCCTGCACATGGGCCAGCATCCCAAAGGATCATGCTGATCAGCATCTCTGGGAATAGGGCCAAGTCCTCCAAAAGACCAGACTGATCTCCAAAAGTGTTGCATCTTTTCAAACCAATGGGGTAATGCAGACTTTGCTACCGAGGTACTGACAACTGAGAGGCAGCCTCTCCTTGCTCAGCTACCGACTGGGCTGGTTCTGCAGGCGGTTTGGGTTAGGGCTGCCCAAGGGAAAAATCACTCCTAATAATGTTGAAGCTGGATGCAGAGAGATATGAACTTTGCCCTTTCTTATCTTGCTATGTTGTTTTTACAGCTCAGCATATCTTCTGTATGAACTACCCTAAGAAATGTCTGGTACGGGTTTTACCCAAGATATTTCTTCCATTTACTCCAAGTAAAACTGAGAGGAATTTATGGATTTGTTTGGGTATAATCTTGCCAGGACTGCAGGTGGAATTCTCTGAAAAGAGTCTGAAAACCTGTGCAACCTGAATGTTTATGCTCTAGACGCTGACAATTTGGAAATTTAACTGCAATAGTGAGTACCACTGTGAAAGACTGATTTCCCCCCCCAATAGACTTTTTTAGAATCACATTTGTCATTTTAACACAATTTTAACATAAAAAACAAATTAAAATGAAACTGTTTTGGAGAAATAAAATCTCCATTTTGCTCAGTCTTCTGGCAAAACAGACAGAACATGGACAACCTTTGGGTGGCTACTGTCTACTAGAGAGAGGGTTAGGTGGAATGCCCTATGGTAAAATGATACATTGCTGTGAAATCCTAAGAAAGAAATACCTTATGAAAAAAAAAAAGCTAAATACATAATTCTTGAAACATAGAAACTACCTCATATGGTTCCTTTCAATCAGAGGATATAATTAATTTTGAGCTAACTTGCAGACAAGAAAATTGCCATGTTTTCTTTAATTTCATATATATTTCCAAGGTTAATTTTATTTTAGAGTCAATGACATTATTGACATCATTTTACTGTGTAAGAATAGCTGGGAGAAGCCTTCTGTTTTGGTGGATGGCAAGGGGAAGCATAAAGTGAGGTATTGATCTAATACAATAGACAGCAGTAAGAAACTGACTCCATGCTCATCTGTACTGTGATATAAACACGTTGGGTTAAATCAAGACAACATGTACTGTTTCTACAGCTCCATGTGTGCACAGTGATGCTATAATCTTCAAGAGTGATAACCTACTGAAAAATAGTATTGCAAGAACAGCTTGCTAAGTGTCCTGGTTTCGGCTGGGATAGAGTTAATTTTCTTCCTAGTAGCTGGTATGGTGCTGTGTTTTGGATTTAGCATAAGAATAATGTGATAACACACTGATGTTTTAGTTTTGCTGAGCAGTGCTTACACTAAGTCAAGGACTTTTCAGCTTCTCATACTGCCCTGCCAGTGAGGAGGTTGGAGGTGCACAAGAAGCTGGGAGGGGACACAGCCGGGACAGCTGACCCAAACTGGCCAAAGGGATATTCCATACCATATGACATCATGCTGAACAAAAAAACCTGGGGGGAGTTGGGCCAGGGGGGCGCAGCCACTGCTCAAGAACTGGCTGGGCATTGGTCAGCAGGTGGTGAGCAATTGCATCATGCATCACTTGTTTTGTATATTCTTTTATCATTATGGATATAAGGAAGAAATTTTTTACGCTGAGGGTGGTGAAACACTGGCAGAGGTTGCCCAGAGAGGTGGTGGGTGCCCCATCCCTGGAAACATTCAAGGTCAGGTTGGACGGGGCTCTGAGCAACCTGATCTAGTTGAAGGTGTCCCTGCCCAGGGTTGGGGGGTTGGACCTTTAGAGGTTTTTTGCAATCCAAACTATTCTATGATTCTATGATCATTATTTTTCCCTTCCTTTTCTGTCCTATTAAATTGTCTTTATCTCAACCCACGACTTTTACCTTTTTTCTGATTCTGTGCCCCATCCCACTGGGGGGGAGTGAGCGAACGGCTGTGTGGTGTTTAGTTGCTGGCTGGGGTTAAACCACAACACTAAGTAATTTGAAAATTGTAGGAGGCTGGACAAACTCTGGCGCCTTTCTAGCTTTCCAGGAGAATCACACTCATTCCTTGTCTTGGCTCTGTAAGAGAGCTTGATAGCTGCTTTGAGGACAAGAAAAATCAGGGTATTGAGGATTATGGGTTCTCCCCGACTGCCTGCCAGGTGGGTAGTGTCTGGTCACAGCTGTGAGAGCATAGGATGGGAAACTGATTGTTTGGAAGAAGATGAGGAAGCACAAGGAAGTTCTTGTCTGCACGCTGCCTTGGCCAACAATGTGGGCCTTTTATTGTCCCATGTCTCCACTATTTTCCAGAAGCCAATTATAATTGTAATATTTAGAAGTGCAAGGCATGCAAAAATCCTCTTTGTTGAGACATCTCTTTCTAATACAGCTCTTCCCCAAACCTGAAGTCTCTTAAAATACAATGTTTTACGAGAATATTTGTGTCTCCTGCTAGTCATCTCCCTGTAGGTTTTTTACAATCGTATTGCTGTATACCTTAAAAGGAGCAAACTCAATTTTCTACAGCTTGCTAACACAAAAGACTTCAGTATATTACCCTGACTTTTCTTTAAAACAAACAAGAATAAACATGTTTGCAAAAACAGTTCTGCAACACACTGCAATATTTGTCCAGCTCTAGTTTGCCAAGGAAGATATAAGAAAATTAGAGAAAAAAATTAACTACTACTATTCATCTACAGAATATAGCTTATTTTTAAGTGGTAAATTTTGGGTCGGTATTTGTCTTCCCATAACCAGCAAGCACAAGAAACACTTTCTATCTTAAGTACCCCAAAACCAATGATTTAAGACTGACCAGTGATAGAAACAATGAAACAAATATTTGTAGGAGCATTTCTTTCAGAACTGTGAGTAATCTGGTATATTCTGAATCTTGCTTACGTTTATCTTTATTAGATTGAAGAATCAAAGATAATGCAAAGATTTTTAAAGCTCTACAACAAGACAAGTATTAAAAGCACTTACATAACATTTAATTTAGCTGCCCTGCTCACTAATCATATTTGATGGAATCCTTTTGGTCTTATGGAAGGTACTGAATTTCCACTATTATCTGGATTCAAAGGGTAATGTACGAGGAAAATGAAAATTAACTTCTTCCATTATTAAATTACTGTGAATTAATAAATGAATTTAGGCTAAACTATAATTTTGTTAGTCTGTTTATTACTTGGAACCCATAGAATAATCCTGCTTGGAGATACTGTGCTTGCAGCTGATAACGTATTATGAATGTAATTAATACAAGCATACAGAAGTTAATTGATATATCCTCCCCTTTCTGTTTGAATGAGTTAATTAAATTTGTCTGCACTTTAAAAGAACATATTTACTTCTAACTAGCAAGACAATTTTAATTGTCTAAGTAAGTTTAAAAAAGTTGTTATATTCAAACACAACACTACTCATGCAGAGTACAATAAACAAAATATAAATGCTTATCAGATCTTCGGAGGAAACTCTTTTCTCTCTCCTTTACCTCATTAATGAAGTCCCCAATGTCCCCAGGATGAGGAGCAGCTGATCTGACTGGATACTGAGGTTCCGCATGGATTGGCCTTTCATCAAGACGTCTGATTCCAACAGGTTTGATGGCATCTGGTTCCACAGTGTCAGGCTGCTGGAGCTGGCTCAAGTCATAATCCTGCAAAATATGAAACCAAGACAGTACGCTAGGAGAATTTCAAACAATATCTGTCGGGGGAAACATAAGGAGGAAAAAAGAGAAAATGCAAAGAAACTTTCACCAGAAGTCCTGTTTTCAGGATTGTAATGCTTACCGAGAATAAGTCAATAACATTGTTATTTGCATACCAACAGGATGTTATTTGATTTATACTCCTTGAATCTACCATTTTGATTCTCTTCCATCAGATTTGTAGCGCTTCTCGTAAGTTTTCCATTGAGAAGCAAGGATTTGAGTAGTGCTATTAAGAGACTAAACACTTTGCCTAGTAATGATGATTTACTGCATAGAGCAAAGATGCCAAACCCAACTTTTATTTTTCTAAGCAAATAAATGCCAGACATTCTCATTCTGAGAAAGAGGGAAGCACACTCTCTGCAGCGTTTTATAATACCTTCAAAGAATGAATTTAAGACTCCTTGCTGATTTCATGTGGCTTCCATAATATGAAAGCCAAAGGGGGAAAAATGTCATAAGTAGTACAAAGCTCCTCAGATTTGGCCTTAATTCTAAGCACTTTCTAGAGATTACTCATGGATCTGTTCATTAAGTATTTGATGCCGCAGTTTCAAACTCTGGCAGACTGATGAAGCCAGCATAGCACCGTGAATTTCAATAAGCAGCATGTATGTATATAAAAATTTTAATTAGATGAATGTTTATGCATTTAAGATATATATGCCTGAATACTATTTGCACACTGTGATGCATTTCAGCATTGTCATTCAGCTCACTGTTGTCATGTCTAGAAGGTAGTCATGCTCTAGGATGCCTTTGCACAAGGCACTGGTAAAAATGCAGAACAAAGAACTGGGCTTAAAGGCTTAAACTAAAGCCATTCACAAACTACCAGCAGACTGGGGATCATGCCAACTCTACTGTATGCCAGATAGCTTGCCCCACACATAATCCAAGCAGTTGAGAAGCATCCTAAATAAGCTCCTTTATCAGTATCTATTTTTCAACAGTGTTGTTCTGGTAAAAATCTTATTTATAATCTCAACTTGCTGGAAGTTATCTGTGCAGACAATTACATTTTCATTGGTTCCTTACTGGCTCCTAAAGGAAGGAATGCAAGCATTTACTTCTGCTGTCACCTCACGGGATGTAGGTCCTTTTTGAGAGTATGACCTTCTGTGACCCCAGAAACAGACTTTTCAAGGAGGAGAGGTCTGTTGACAGCAGTGAAGGTAGTTTGTTGGGAGAATTGTAACTGACTATCAAATCCACTACACCTTCTAATTTGTTACTCAGGTCCTCAGCTGACTGCACGCAAATATATAGTCAAAAAAGGTGGAACAGCTCCACTGAGATCTGAGAATGCAGTTTCATATGCTTTAATTAGATTACAAGTTCCTTGGGGCAGAGCAGTAACTTCTACCCTTCGGTTCTTCATGTACCAAACAGAATAATAAGTGATCTCCATGAAGTGGTATGAATTGGAGGAAAGTAAACAGAACAGAACTTTTTATCCTTTCCCTTTTTATTACGTAAAATAAATCAAAATAGTTTAGAGACACGCTATCAGAAAATCCTATCAAACAGAGCAGAATGTACTTTTTAGAATTTATAAATATGTAACATGAGTGCTTTTCATACCCACCCAAAAGATAAAGGTGGAAAACACCAACAGGGAGAAATGAAAAATACTAGTTTTTTTTATACTAAGCATTTCATTATGGAGGAATTCAAACAGGTATGGTTAAATAGCAATGTATTAAAACCAGGAAAGCCTCTCTGGTCATTTCAGTTTTATAAAGATAAAATGTTTTTTCCACCCACCCGCATATGCATACAATTCTTCTTCTGATTAGTGGTCATACAGAAATGCAATATGAATCAAGTCAGTCAGTCTAGTATCTTCACATCTAATGCCATCCTCTTGTGTGTATGTATAGTTTGAGACATCTCCAGGCTCTATAGCTAATAAGACAGCAAAGATTGCCATCCGCAAGGCAACAGCAGTGCAGAATGTGTCCTTACGCGGACTCCCACTTTAGTTTTCTTTCCTAGGGTAATTTATGACACTGCCATCTAGCCTTCTATCAGAGGAAATTTATTTTGCAGGTCTATTACTGTCTGGACAGGAAGAGAAGATCCATTGTGCTTATTACCATGGACTCTCAAATCTCTCCTATCATTAAAATCAATACTAACTGTACATCAGTCAGGTATGGCAAGTCATCCACCACCTCTCCAAACTGGCTTAGTGCCATACAAACACAGTATCATGCCACGACTCCAGCTGTTTCAACATTCCGTCTAAAGTCAACTCTACTCAATTATTGCGAAGTAAAAGAAGGAAGAATGTTTTAAAGAGCCAGGGCGTAAGCTGTTTAGGGCTGCTGAAATTCCATCTCTTCACTCAATGCTGCATTCACAGCTAGAAATACGGGAAAACTTTTCATGTATTACCTAAAGCTCCTGAACAGACTTTAAGGTTAGTCTCAAGCAGAGTTTGCTAAGATATTTAACTGCAGAAGTGACAGCTAAATGGAAAACTGTGGCGCATGAGAGAGAGAACAAGACATGCTGGGGTAGGCTGGGACAGCCAGCTTTGAGCAATGCTCTGGGTCACTATTTTTACTCTTAATTTCAGGACCACAAGTCAACAATGTTTTGTCTTTGCTCCAGTCTTTTTCCATATAACCTGTTCATAATTACAATCTGCTGAGGGACTAATGAGGAACAAGACTTGGCCCTCCATTGGAAATGTACTTGAGCAAAGGTTGTGAGCATCTAATTCATATGGCTGCCAATTTTTGCCAGAGGTATTTATTTACTTATTTATGCTGTTTAGCCCTAACTCCAGCAATTTTACAACAAACACCTCTATTTAAGCAAATCCAAACACAGGATTTGTTTTCAGTTTTTCTCCTCAAACTTCTGGACAAGCTTAGATTGTCGATGGAAGGGAGTATTCGTTTTTCTCTGTTGGAAGGTCACTAAAATATATTAGTTTGCTCCCATTTTGCATCTAGCAAAAACTCAGGCCTTTAGAAATCGGAAGTTTAGACTAGTCTGATAGTCCAAGTCTACAGTCAACAGGGAAACAGAAACCTCCCATTCTATGACAGGGATCTAAGTGAAGCAAGCCGAACAACCCCTTGTCTTTCCCCTTGCTTATAAAGGAATTTGATATTACTGGATGAGACAATACAGCTACCTTTTAGATAACTGGCAGTTAGAGAGATGACAATCTTAATGCTTTATCAATGTAACTCTCTTGATGTAACCACCAGCACTTCTGTCTCTCTGGTTAGCATCTCTGGCATCACTATTTGCTCTTGCTGAAAAACACCCTGACATGTGTATTAAAGCAGAAAAACTTCTGGTTTTGATTTGCTTTTAAGAAAGAAAATAAAATCACGATGTACTAAAAGGGCATTTTATCAGAAGTTGCATCTTGTGAAATTAAACAATCTCAAAAAACCCCTGCAAAACCCCACCAACCCCCTCCCCTCCAAGCTGGTTACAAACATTGACCTTATTAGCCATTCACTTAGTTCTAGATAGCTTTAAGCAAAGACTTACACTGCTACTAGCTCCCACCTCACATTCCTGAAACGTGAGATCCCAGTGAGACAGTGCTAAATGCCAAAACCAGCTACCCAAGCCCTACAAATTAACCACCTTACCAGATGTGTAGGCAGAAGGGTCCGAAACCCCCAAAAAGCACTTCTTTAAGAACATCTACCCAGTAGTTCGAAGCACAGTCCAAGTATCTCAACTTGAACAGAAGAATGTCCAGATTAGAAGGCCGTTTTATATTCCCCGGTAATCACCGATTTACAGAGAAACAAGATAATGCAGCCTTCAAAATCTCTTCCCTTAAACAACTTCCTCTTGTGCAAGGCAGCTATTCATTTAACAGCTCTTGAGTAAAAATCCTTCATACAGCAGTCATCAGTTACAGCAGTAGGAGAGATTTTTTAAAAAGTACCTTGCTTTCTGACTAACAGTTACCAGATTCTACAATCCCTCCCAAAAAATGAGGGGATAGGCCAGGAAATAGTTTCTCAGAAGCTTCTAGTTTTATAAAGCTAACTTTTTTCCTCCTGGATTAGCTGTTCTGGTTGTGTTTGTATTTTAGAAGATTTACTTAAGTTCTTGGCAAAAACTTAACAAAGTAAAAATTTTTACAGTAACTGGACCTCCTTTATATGAATGCATACTAGAACATTATAAAGCAGAACTGCAGACAACAGAATCAAACCCCAACTTACTAAAACTATAAATTGCTATCCACTGACGGGACTGACTTTTTTCCAGATAGGAAACCCTGAAAATATTGGAATATATTACATCTAAATTGAGCTTTCCACTACTAAGAAGTTTTCTCTAACACTAGCAGTGATACCTCCTAGTACATACAACCTGACTGACATATTCATTTATGACTTCTCAATCTGGCTTCTGTGTTATCTCAGAGCTCTCAGTTTATTTCCTGGCCATTCACTAGACTGTGTTATATGCTTTTAGGGATGACTTGTTTTTTTACCTTGTACAGAACTAAAGCTTTGTCTATGCATAAATACAGGCCCGGACATATGACTAATATAACAAAAACACTACACCTGTTTCTTATTTTCAAAGGACGCAGTCTTTGCAAAGAAATATGAAAGTTCAGGTCTATCCCCATGCAAGAATCGATTTAATTGTCATCAGATCACTTAATTTGATGGTGAGAGCTGTAAGCATCATCCACTGAACAAAATCAGCTGCAGTGGTCTAAGTGCATGTAAAGCAACATTGGCAGAAGTTTGCATTTCACCCACCCCTTTTACAGGATGGTGCCTTAGTGTAAACCCAATTTTATTGTTGGCTTAAGAGAATAGAGCAAACTATGACTTGAAGTACCTATGGATAAAACACATGTTCTGCTTTACCTTTGTGTTCCAAAGACGATTACCGTCTACTCCAATAGAGAAATGGGATGGGGAAGCAAGGGAAGAAAT